GGCTTGGACCCCTAATAATAATAATAAAAAACGGAACAGATACAATAGGGTTCCATGCTCCGATGGAGACATGGAAACGCCGCTGCTTTGCAGCTGCGTTACCCTGCTTCCTCGGGCTTGGACCCCTAAAAAAACAAAAGAGTAAGCAAAATAACTTATATTACATTCAAGATGTACGTCTGGAAAATATTAATTTACAATTATACTTACCATCTCGTCTTCCCTCCTCACCTGTAAATAAATATTCACTTACCTTTGATCTGTTGTCTCCTGGTCTGGTTTTCAGTTCCGCTGATTGTGTTGAACCATTTAATATCCTTGTCAGAATAATGTAAAGCATCCTTGAGTATCCTAAAAAGTGCTATATAAGACTGATTTCACCTTCGCCTTCTTCGCTCTAAATTATAATTTGTGCTCCGGTTTGACATCTGAGTGACACAGAAACGTTAAACTCTTTGTTCTGTAGTTCAGTGGATCTCCTAACTTTTCAATGCCATGGCCCTCCAAACAGCATTAGCTTCTGGCTGTGGATGCATTTACAACCCACAAACAATGCTCCAAAATGTGTAAACATCAACATTTAGAATGCTTTATCTTATTTTTATTCACTACTCAACATTTATTACATTTGTTTAGCAGAAGCATTTTATTAACTAATATGTTGTGAACACTGTATGTTCTCTGAAAAAAACAAATTTTCAACTACCTGTTGACAATAAGAACAAAAAAAAAGGAATCAAACATTTTAAGCTATCTTCATTTCAAATTATTATTATAAATTATATTTTTATATAATGACTGAAAAACATTTTCCTTTTTATTACGGTGATTTAAAACTTTTATTAGATTAATTGTTTTGATTTTTTAGGCCCCTCTCGTGCCCCCTGGTGCATGGTCCAACCATAGGACAGGACACAGCAAACTGTCTATGGTGTAAATCCACAAATGTTAACTATTAAACAAAGCAATGTTTTTCTTGGTTCTAAAGCCTTCAACTACTTTATAAGCATTTAACCTAAAAGTAATACAGTACATCCATCTAATTACTTTTCCTAATTATGATTGGCAATATCTCCTGTTTGAATGGATATTTTAATTTATTACTTACTGGATCGACTTTGATCAGCATCTTTTTACAGATTGTTTCTCATGCCTCACACAGTGAGTGCACAAAACTGCTTCAGTTGTTGTTAGTTTGACATTTACACTACAGCCCTGAGCAAATAAGGACTGTAAAATACCAAGGGTTATATAATGGTCTATTTAGATGGCTTCAGTTCTACCAGAGCAGGTTATGCTAAAAATTTTATATTGTGAAGGGATGCAGTGGAATAGAACAGAGATTCTTAACCCATGGGCAATTGGGCCGCGAGCGCCACCTTGAGGACCTCAAAAGAACAACAGTTTTTAAAGCTGCTGTATGTAGTTTCTTGAAAACCCAAAAACTTAGAAAAATTTTGAAAGATACAACCTTGTAGTCCCTCCCCCCTGCTCTCAGCTCCCCTTCCTAAGCTCCTCCCCCACAGCAGGGCCCAGAGTCGGGAGCATTTGTAAACAGGAGGTGAGCCACACCGTAACACACAGAGCTCAGAGCTAAGCTGCCGTCACAGGTAAGAACAAACCATCAACAATATATTTTTAACTATCATGTCTTGCCCATACTTTATCTACACAAGTGCTCCTTTTGTCATAACGTTACATGTAAATTATGTTGCACTCTTTCTATAAGTTATAAATAGCTATCAAGCTAACACNAGTAAGTAAGTAAGTAAGTCAGTAAGTCAGTAAGTAAGTAAGTAAGTAAGTAAGTAAGTAAACTTCATCGATGCCCAGCTGAGGGGACCAGGCTGTGTCCATGCTTACTGATTGAAACACAAGAGGAAAACTATCTGGAAATTAATTTATCTCAAGAAAACAATGCTTGTTGTTTCATGATAACCACATAATATGTTGTTATCACTAAATAACGAGGGCTTATTTAGAAAACCATGTAAAATAATTACATGCAGAAATCGTCTGCTCTTACTTAAAAACCAACCTGCTGCGTTTTGTTGAAATATTTCACTGAACAGATGTTTTCTTTATCTTTTAAATTGTAAAGTATATTTTCCACATTAAACATGGACAAAGCTTTGACATTATTCATGGTGATCTCACTTCTTCTAAAATAAAAACAGACAATGTTTGAAGAGGAACGTGCACATTGATGAGCACAGTGTGCCACCTGTAAATACTTGTTTTTCTCCCTCCCTCTCTGATATTTGTGTGTGTTTGATGAAGGGCACTGATCTTCTTCATGGTGAGCATAAAGATGACCTGTTTGTGTTTGAAGCCACCAAACAACATGAAGACATCTACACCTGTGTGTGTACCTGGACACACTATCAGCACACCTACAACACGTCAGGCTCCAGGAAGCTCATTCACTCAGGTGAGAGGGTTTAACTGCAGGCAGCTCTGCTCCAGCCCCCCCCCCACCCCCCCAGTGTTCACACTCATCACTGGTTTTCTTTGTTTCTTACAGAAATGGGTTTTTATCGTAAAATAGAAATCCTCTCTCCGACCACCAGTGTGCAGCTGGCTGATGAAGGTCAGGAAAACTTTCACAAATCAAAGTCAGCACAACGTTTCCACCTATATTTCTGTCATAATTAATTAATACAAACATCTGTTTACTGTGTTTAAGTCTGGATCTTTAGCACTAGTTTTTTTCTTTCTGTTTTTAAAGAAGCTGAAACTGTAGCGTACACTCTAAAAATGAAATGTTGGGTTTACTTAACCATGTTACGTTACCTGGTTCCACTTAACTAAGTGGAGTAAATTCAAAGCAACATACTCATGTTCTTTGGTTAAAAAACTGGTACACCGTCGGGCATAAAATACCATAAAACACCTTAAAAAGTACACAAATTAAATGAAGTACTGCTTTTAAACCCTTTAGAGTAAATTCACAAGCTTGGTCTCTTTTTAAAACTAATAATCTGAATGTTTAACTTCAGTCATATTCTTTGTAACTGTAACTAGTATTTAGTATATTGAAGTAAAATACACAAAAATCAAGATATTTTTCTCCCTAAATTTTTATTTTTTATTATTAATAAAGTATCACAGAATAAGCAGGGAATGAGATGTCAATAAACAATTTTTACTGGGCTAAAATATAATTCTCAACTATTACCAGTTCAAATTTGGTAACAGTAGCAG